CTCTCTCTCTCTCTCTTTTTCTCTCTCTCGCTCTCTCTCTCTCTCTCGCTCTCTCGCTCTCTCTCTCTCTCTCTTTTTCTCTCTCTCGCTCTCTCTTTTTCTCTCTCTCGCTCTCTCTCTCTCTCTCTCGCTCTCTCTCTCTCTCTCTTTTTCTCTCTCTCGCTCGCTAGCTCTCTCTCTCTCTCTCTCGCTCGCTCTCTCTCTCTCTGGGCCCGGCATTTTTCCTGTAAATTCTTGCATGAAAGTGTCCTTGCGAGTTGTCCATGTGCATTTTGACTGCGCCGGCTCGCACAAAGTCTGCGATGCGGGGTTGTCTGGGCTTTTTGCCTCGGGCTCATCTTTTGTGGCAGGCTTAGTATACTTCGTAGACCTCGACACAAAAGCGGGTGAAACCCGCAAGTCTCATCAGTTCGTGCGTGTCGGATCACTCTCTTGTGTGGCGGTGCCAATTTTGGTCTTGGCTCGCGCAACCTTCTCGGCACTTTCGGATCGCTCTCCTTGTGGTGCGTTGCGAATTTTGATATCGGTGGGGAAACCTTCTCGGCACTTTGGGCGTGTCGGAATTAGTTCTCGTTGTTGCGCGGTGCGAATTTTGCCTTGGCTTGCGCAACCCTCTCGGCACTTTGTGCGTGTCGGATCGCTCTCGTTGGGGCGCGGTGCGAATTTGATATCGGTCGCGCAGCCTTCTCGGCAATCTGGCCTTGTCGGATCGCTCTCGTTGTGGCTCCTGGCTCGCGCAACCCTCTCGGCACTTTGTGCGTTTCGGATCGCTAGATCTCATGAATTCTTTGGAATGTTGTATGACAGTATTGCAAGAGTTTCATGGTGCAGTCTTGGAGGTCCGTGCTATATGGAGATCTTGACCAAATTCTTGCTACAGAGGTCTTTTTGAGAAGATGGTTGTGAAGATCCTGATGAAATCCTGCTTGCATGATCTTGATTGATCTTGCACACGTCCTTATGAGAAGATCTTGCAGGGATTCTGGTGAAGCCCTCTCTAAGAGGTCCTCGCGTGATCTTGTAGAGGTCCTGAACAGAAGATTTTGTGGCGATCCTTGTGAGACCATCTCTCATAAGAGGTCCTTGCGCGAAGATCTTGCAGCTGCCATGTATTAGAAGCGCTTGTATGAAAGCTCTTGTGGGAGGCTCTCGTATATCAAGATCTTGTAAGATCCTCTCCAGCCGCACCAGTTCCTTTTATAAAGATCTTGTGAAATCCTCTTAGGTGGTGTCTCTGGTGATCTTGCACAGGTCCTTATAAGAAGATCTTGCAGAGATCCTGCCGAAATCTTCGAAGAGGTCCTTGCAGTGCATGGTCTTGTACAGGTCCTTGTGACATGCTGTCAACGGCGTTAGCATGATCTTGTACATGTCCTTGTGAGAAGAACTTGAAGAGGTCCTGGTGAAATCCTCTAGATCCTCTAGGCGTCCTTGCATGCATTGATGCTTGTATGACAGTTGTTCTGGGATGTTCGTAGGAAGTTCTTGTGTAAAGATAAGATCCTCTATATAGAAGGTCCTTCTCTGACGATGTTTTGATATTCTCTTAGATGTCCTGGTATGAGGTTCCGGTATGAAGTCCTGATGAGTAGACACATCAGTGCGTCTTGTGCCAAAACAAGTTCCTGCTGCTGCAGTTCCGAAAATGTCTAGCCTGACCTGATACCGTTCCATAGCTACTGTTGTGCTTGTATCTGGTACATGGGCTTCCTAGCCCCCGCACTGTTTGGGGCCTCTTGCCGGTGTATTTTTTGAATAGAAAAAGTGGTTCTACCTAAGCTCCAAAAGGCCAACCCAAAGCTTAGAACCTCCGTTGAATGAGTGCCGTGTTGGTGCAATGGATTGCGGATTCCACAAACTCGAGTGGCACGAAGACTTCCAGGCTAGAGGAGTCGAAGGTGTTTAGAAGGTGAGAGAAACCAATTCGTGTCGTGTTTTTCTTGTCGTTTTCCACCATACTTTCATTCATACCTTTACAGCCTATACATCTCAAGTTTATTCGCTTTAACTGGCCAAGGCCATGCTGCAGTCTTACTGTGTCTTAGTGTTGCATCTTCGAAGACTTCAGGTGCGAATCATCCGTGTCTTGCGAGTGGTTCGCATGCTGACTTTTTTCCGCGAGCTGCGTGACTTGTCGAAGCTGCCAGGACCTTTGTCGATATTTACTAAGTATTGCTGGGGAGACCACTTGACGGGACCCTTCACAGAAGAATCTTGTGACGCGTTAGCTTCAGAGATGGATTGTGGATGACTCAGATTGCCCCAAGCTGTTTCTGAGGGATGATGATCCATTCGACAATTGGCTGTTTCAAATCCGTCTTCTTCGTGATGGTCCTTTTTGGCGCTTTGCTTTACATCTTTGGCATAGCGTTCACCAGCGCATTCATTGACCATATGGCGGAATTGTCCATGTGGCAGGAGCTTGGATGGGTCCTTTCCACTTGCACAACCGCTTCGCTAGCAGCTGAACCCAAAAGATCAGGTTAGGCCTTATTTCCTACCTAAAGGCCCGTTACCACTTATCCTACTTCAAGTAACTTAGCTATACTTAGTCTACTTATGTTAACTTTTATCTACTTATGCGTTATTGAAAAATTTTATTCTATTTAAGTAAAAATAAGTAGGTTATAAGTACAGATAAGTAGAAATAAGTAGAGATAAGTAGAAATAAGTAGAAACAGCTTAAAAATGTAGGATTTTGCAAAACCTAGTCGATTTCGAGTAAAACTAGATTTTGGCTGGCAAAACTGTGACCTCAACGTTTGTCTAACCTTGTCTTTAAAGACACCAAAAGGTTGGACACCAAAATTTGCACGGAAAACTTGTAATTTGGATTGGCGCAAGCCATTTATCAACGGCTTTATCAACTCTGACCATCAATGTGACAGAGCTGAAAGTTGAAGGCAATTGCAAAGCTTTCTTAGCGGTCACACCGAAAAACCAAAGCTGCTGGGATTGGTGCTCGGTCGCCATGACCGAAAACCAAACGGTGAGGAGACCGAAAGGTCAGGAGCGTCAAGCTAGCCAAAAATCCACTTCAAGAGCTTTGTGTGAACCATGCGCAAATGGGCATGCTCACTTTCACAACAAACAAACAAACAAAACATTGAGCGTCGCGAGCTTGCTGCGATAGAGGAGGGATATCGCTAGAGAAATTTTGACCGGTAGTGACCAGATAGCGGAGAGAAAGCGCAGAGAAAGCATAGAGATAGCACAGAGATAGCACAGAGATAGCACAGAGATAGCACAGAGATAGCACAGAGATAGCATGGATAGCATAGATAGCACAGAGATAGCACAGAGATAGCACAGCCGATTTTCCTGCAAATTTCATTTGATAGCATCGATAGCACAGAGATAGCTCTTTGTTTGCATTTCGAAAGGCAGTACAGATATCAGAAAGATAGCACAGAGATAGCACAGACTTTTTGTTTGTATTTCAAAAGGCAGTACAGATATCAGAAAGATAGCACAGAGATAGCGCAAAGATATAGCAAACTTCAAGAGCATGGTCTCGTTTTTGGCCGCAAGCAAGTGGCAAATATTTGTCTTTGCAAGCTGTCTCTACATAGACACGACGGCCAAGAGAGAAGAGCCACAACAGATGCCTGAGAGGCAGCCAGTTCTGACATCCAGAATGTTCATGATTCTTGTTGTAGACCTGCCCCTGATGGGACTAGTGATATTTTCTTGTTTGGGTGCATGCTATTCAAAAAACATATATATCTATCTATATATATATATACACGTGTATATATACATCTCATGAAAGAAAAACATATTTGAAGGAAAGACACCAAGATATATGGTTTCTGTTTTCCTGCGAACGCATGTGCTTAACCCAAATCTGCAAAATGTCGGAAAAAAACAAACAAAACACAAACAGTGAAACAAAAAGCATCATAAAATAAAGAAAACACACAAGTAGGATAAGTAGAAATAAGTAGAGCTAAGTACACTTAGCCTACTTAACAATTAGGCACATGAAATCACAACAAACTACTTGTTTCTACTTAGTAAGTAGGCTAATTTACTTCAAGTAAGTTCAACTAGTGTCTAAGTAGGACAAGTAGTATAGCCTACTTAAGCCTAGTTAACCTACTTAAAGCCTACTTACTTATAAATTACTTAACCTAGTTAAAGCCTACTTAAAACCTACTTATAAGTAAGTAAGTGGTTAGGGGCCTAAAGGTACCTAATTAGGTAATTTTTAAGGTAAAAAGGTAACCTATAATTTTAAGGTAATTCGGCACGTGGGGTTGAAAGTTTGCGTGCAAACTTGCGAGGCGGGGCTGAAAGTTTGCATGCAAACTTGCGAGACAAGGTTGAAAGTTTGGATGCAAACTTGCGAGGGGAGGTTGAAAGTTTGCGCGCAAACTTGCGAGGCGGGGTTGAAAGTTTGCGCGAAAACTTGCGAGGCGGGTTTGAAAGTTTGCAAGCAAATTTGCGCCCTTGGACACGCACGCAAGCATTTGCAGGCAAGTGGTGCAAGTTTACACTCAAACTTGCGAGGGGGGTTGAAAGTTTGCCTGCAAACTTGCGAGGGGAGGTTGAAAGTTTGCATGCAAACTTGCGAGGCGGGGTTGAAAGTTTGCGTGCAAACTTTCGTTGAGAGTTAGGTAAAAATTAGTTAAGGCAAGAAAAATTAACTAATTTAGGTAAGGGAAAAATAAACAAATAGGTAGTTTTTGTCTAAGATAAGGAATTACCTTTTCGGCAGGAAATTGCCTAACCTGATCTATTGGGAAGTTTGCAAGTGTTTCGTTTTTATTGCGCCCAGGACACCAAATATGCTGATCTTATCGAGTTCTTTGGAACAGTCACACTTTCTGGCCTCTCTCTCTATCAGGCATACCCAATTTTGCTTCAACACGACAGCAGGTGTTTCCAGACTTTGACGAGCAAGAAAAGTCGTTGGGATTGCCAGGCAATGTCTGGTGGCCGAGACTGGCATGTGTTCTTCCAAGCATTGGAAACCATGGAGGGTCAGGCGGGGCGCTGGCCTGGCCTGATGCAAGCTGGTGCATTGCAACTGGACAACGGATGGGCTAGAGCAAACAAGCACATAAGAAAATATAAGAAAGCATATATCGCAAGGGAAGTTTAG